AATGGAGGAGAAGGGATTGCAGCGTGACCATCCCCCCTGGGGGGTGATTTCTCGCTTTCTGTCTCTATGTCTCTCTCTGTCTGTCTGGCGAGCGCACGCACCCTATAGCGAAAATCTCTCCAAAAAAAAGAAAAAAAAGAAATCCATGCATGAACGTTTTGGAAACCCCTGTCCCTAGGAGAGACATTTCTGGGTGATGCGGCAGTTCTGTCTCATTTGGAGGCACCAGCAAGCGCTCCCCTGTGGTCGGAGTTTGCCCTTCTCCCCTGTGCATGAGGCTGAAGGTCTGTCATGACGTTGAATTCTTTGGCGTTCTCTTACCGTGAACTGCGTGTTCATAAACTGGGCCCAGGTGGGCGCTGGGGTGTTGTGGCTCCCTCGTCACTCCCGTTGGACTTCCTGCCATGCTGCCTGACATAGGGGATGGCCTGTCAGTGCTCTGAAGGGCCGTTCCGAGAGGGCCACGTGACACTTCTCTGCCTCTCAGCCAGATTCTTCCTGCACCCTCCTCTCTGCCCACCCCCACTGGTGTCATCAGGAGATGTCACATTATTCACAAACTCTCTGCTGAACGCCCACTGTCCTCCTGCCTCCCAAAGAGAACCTTCATGATGTGGCTGAGCAGCTCAAGTTTCCGCCATCTACATGCATGGATGTACTCTCTGAATTCCAGCAGCATTTGTGACATTTGTCCTGCAGAATTTGTCAAGCTCGTGAACTGAAGGTTAATACTCTGTCCCAGAGACGGAGGGAATAAGTAACCTAAGGGAGTGTGTCAAAAATTGTTTCTGTAAATCGAGATGAAAGTTTATGTAACAGGAGCCATCACGTAGGGTGGTGGTGAAGGCTCTGGGTTCCCACATGGCTGACTGTGATTCTAGTCCTGGACCCAGCGGCTGGAAAATCACTCTGGGTATATGTGTGTGCATGTCCAAAATCCTAGGAGGAAAATGGAGATGGGATTTCAGTGTGGCCATACCCTCAGAGTGGAGGGTGATTTCTTACTTTTCTTCTTCTCACCCCAACTCTAGCCAGCACACACACACTCTATTGAAAAAAAAAAAGAAAAAGAAACTCACATAGCATAAAATCAACCATCTTAAAGAGTGCATCTCAGAGGCGTTTGGCAAGTATACGATGTTGCGTGACCCCTCCTCTGCCTAGAACATTTTCATCACTCCAGCAGGACACCCAATACCCATTTCCAGCCATCCCTCATCCCGCCATTCATCCTAGGCAACTACTAATCTACTTTCTGTCTCTGTGGAGTTGCCTGTAGAAATTTCACATAAATAGGATCATACATCTGTGTGTCTGGCTTTTTTCACTTTAGCATTTTTTTAAAAGAATTATTTAACTTGATTGATTGATTGGTTCATTGATTGATGAATTCATTCATTTATTTTTAATTTGACCAGAAAGGGACAGCATGAGAGTGCGAACCAGAGAGAGAGAGAGGGAAAGTGAGAAAGCAAGCCTCCAGGGGGTTTAAATCTTGGTTGGCCACGTGGGAGTCCAGCGCCCTTAACCACCGTGCCACCTGCAGGCCCCAGCATTATGGTTTTTTTTTTAATTTTATTTTTAATCTTTTTTATTTATTTATTTGGAGAGGTTTTCACTATAGGGCGTGTGCGCTCGCCAGACAGGCAGAGAGAATAATAGAGACAGAAAGCAAGAAATCACCCCCAGGGGGGATGGTCACGCCGCAATCCCTTCTCCTCCATTTTCCTCTCAGGATCTTGGGCATGCATGCACACGCGCCCGGCGTGAGTTTTAAGCCTCCAGGTCCGGGACGCGAACCGCGGTTGACTACGTGGGAGTCCAGCGACATAGTCATTATGCTAACTGCTGGTTCCCCCCAGCATTGTGTTTTTTCAGTTCAACCTCATCATAACCTGTATCAGCGTTTCTGTGTGTGTGTGTGTGTGTGTGTGTGTTTTAATTTATTAACTAAAGCGCATGTATGCTCACCAGAGTGAGACAGAGAAGGAGAAAGAGAGAGAAAGTACCCCCCAGGGGGATGACCATGCTGTAGTCCCTTCTCCACCATTCTCTTGGGATTTGGGCCACCCATGCACACACCTGGCATGTTTTTCAAGCCATCAGGTCTGAGACTCGAACTGATGCTCAGTCAGCCATCTGAGATCTAGCTGCCATAACCACCACGCCCCTTGGCTGGTCCCTTCTTTCTTACGGCCAAATCATTTTCCACTAGAAGACAGCACACTGTTCTCCCACTCAGCCACTGATGGATGAGTGAGTGTTTTCTCCTTCTAGCTGTCACGAATAATGTTCTCAGGTGTGTACCCAGGTATGGAACAGCTGGCTCAGGTGCTAATGAGAAACCATGAAGCTACTTACTGTCAGTGTTTCTTTTTTAAGTTTATTTACTGATGTATATGAAAGAGACTGCTAGGCACCTCCAACAGGCCTCCACGCAGCGATGCATCCCTGGCCTCGGCCAGGCAGGATCATAAGAACATGCATGCACCACTGGCGTGGACAGGGAGCCCTCAGGGTGCAAACCTGGGACCTTCCCAGGTGGCTCCAGCATCATGGAGGGTTGCACTCCCACTGTGCTGCCATCAGCCAGGAAGGCTAGCCCAGGCCTGAACCTGGGAAACCTTAGGGAAAAGACCCACTGAGCCTGGCTCCTCGCACAGCACAGCCTCTCCCGGCTCACACGCCCAGTCATGGTAGCTGTCCTTGCTCTGATGGGATTCTGGCCTCCCCTCCCTCAGCTGAGAATCACTGGCCTAAGACAGGCCAGGAGACTGGACTGCCGCGTGTGTGGGCTTTGGACATATCCCTTTCCCTCTCTGGCCTCAGTTTCCCCATGTACAAAGTGAGGGTCTAATCGTAAACCAACAAGCTATGGTGCTCATGAAGTTGTGCTGGTGTGTGGAAGAGGTTTTGTAAACTGTAACGCACTGTCTGAATCGTTGCCACAGAGAGACCTGCCCAGTCTTGTAAGCTGTTTGAGTCAATAATTGAAAGAATCAGGAGGCTTCATCTAATATCCTTAGGGCTTCTCTCTGGAAAACTAGTCAACAGTAACCCCAGACAACTGCCTTGAGCTGGAAGTAGCTGCCAATTCTGCAGGGGGAACATTTCAGGATTCTCTTTCTTTTTAAAACATTTGCTATAGGGTATGCGTACTTGCCAGAGACAGAGAGCAGGGGAAGTGAGAAGGCTCCCCGCTGGGGGGGATGACCACATCATAATCCCTTCTCCTCCAAGGATTTTGGGCATGCATGCACACGTGCCTCACATGTTTTTCAAGCCACCAGGTCCAGGACTTGAACTGCACAGTTGGCCATGTGGGTTCCAGTGCCTTAACCATCACACCACCTGCTATCCCTAGGGGGTTTTCTTATACTTGGTTGCTATAGAAATTGAGTTGAGAATCCTTGTAGTGTGTGGGAAGG